CATAGCGTGTTAGCATGTTAGCAAAGACTTTTACACTGTCTACTGTCACGCACCAACCGCCACGACAAATTCCTTGTATGTTTGACATATTTCGGCAATAAATGTTTCCTGATTCCTGACCTGTAAAACAAGGACTTGGTCCCACAAACTCTCATAAAGCCGTCTGGGCCGGATTCCAGGAGTAGAACCAGAAACGTGGTCCGCTTTGTGAAGTCCGTTGTCATGGTTACCTGTGTGCCTCCTGACGGGGAGGCGGCGTGTGATCATCACGTACCACTGAACTTTAGTGTGTTTTCCTCCTGCAGACTCTCAGCAGACAGAACACCTCTCCTCCTACCAGCTGACTGTCCCTCGACCAATGGGAGGCCGGCTGAGGCGGGACACAGCCGGTAGACTACCCAATCAGGTAACTCCACTGTGACCTTTCGCAAACAATTACGTATTTAGACAAATAGTGGACGTGGCCGCCGATCGGCGCTTCGGTGCCGGACCCCCACTGACTGACTCTCATGTTCCACCGTCACTTTTCACATTAAGCTGTAATAATCACCTTAACTTTTATTCCTTTATTTTGAAACTAACCCATAGCCGACGTTAGAGGTCATTAATGGACACAAATATTTGATGAAGCTACTTCCAGCTGCTTGTTAGCTTAGCTTAGCATAAACACTTGAAACAGAGAGGAGCGGCTTGCCGTCAATCTTGTGTTATTCCATCGTGGGCGCAGCAGGGTCACATGTTGTGTCGCGGATCCGTCTGGGAGGTTAAGTGGAGACACGTTTCACTTCCTCTTCAGGCCTGAACAGGAAGTGAAATCGCACTGGGAACAAATGTTGGATTTCCTCTTCGTCCATCACCATCAAAGTTTCCGTAGCCGTCTGAGGAACGAAATGAGGCGAGGTAGAGACCTGTCAATCAGCATGTAGCCCCGCCCTAAAGCGTCCTCTGCTTCACGGTCTGTTTGACTGTGAATGGACCATCATTTGCTAAATGAGCATCATGCTGTATTTAAGAGACTTTAAACTAGAGACTGAGACCATAACACGTGAAGAACCAGATCCTGCTCAGATCATCACAGATTAACAGATACTCTCTTTCTTCAGGTCTCTTACAGCATCAGTGTGGATGGAAATGATCACATAGTTCATCTGGAGAGAAACGAGTAAGATCTGATTTTATGTTACTGACTGATTCTCTCAATGGATGTTTATTTAGAACCAACTGACTGTTTGTATCCAAACAATGAATGAGGAACATCTATAGAATCTAATCTTTCTCTCTGGTCCTCAGTAGAAGTTGTGAGCTCGGAGTTCAGCTTCCTGTGATAACGTTTAAAGTCTAAATAAAGATAAACGTCCCTCCTAAAGGACGACGTTATGTGGACCTCAGCTTGTCACGTATTGGGGCTCTTATTTTGTAGGATGCATTCTACAGACAGGAAGGACATTACATGTTGTTGTTGTTGTTGTTTCAGGTGGCTGCTTCCTGCAGACTTCACCGTGTTCTCCTACAGTCAGAACGGGTCCCTGATCACCTCCAGACCCCCTGTACAGGTAACACACACACACACACACACACACACACCTTCTGACCAACCAGAGCCTCAGAGAAGAGTCTAAACAGGAAGTGGAGATTTAGGAGAGAACGACAGCAGAAATCAGAGAGTAGCCAAAGAAAAGCTCCAGACAGACGTTCGGTGTAAAGCTTCATGTCGAGTAAATATTAACACGTTTAAAGCTGCAGACTCATTAACTTAAACACTTCCATTAGTGTAACTAATGTGTTGTTGTGCTGCAGGACCACTGTCACTATCTGGGCTCCGTTCAGGACATGGAGGGTTCTGCTGTCGCTATGAGCATCTGCAACGGCCTCAGGTCTGTGACACACGCACACGCACACGCACACGCACACGCACACGCACACGCACACGCACACGCACGCACTGAGCCGTCTGACAGGGAACTGACTTTGTCCTTCAGAGGGACGAGCGTGTGTGTGATTCTCACATAAAAAGAATTCATTTAGAGGATCTGCGGCGGGTTTGAGTCAAACGGAACATAAAGCATGATCCAGTATCAGAGCTGGCCTACATCTCTCATCTCTGCCGCGGGGTCGCTAAGTGGGCACTTACTGGATGCTTTGGAGCTCCGAACCGGAAGACGTTGTAACTATGTGTTTACTACGTACACTTCTTCGTCCATCACACGAAAAGAGGTCTCTTGGAGAAA